TGCCCGTTGAAAAGCAAGGATTCAGCTTCCCTTAACAGGGAACACTTTTAAAGAAAACGAACTCTTTTTTCACTTTAGTGCAAGAAAAGGAGAGTGAGGAAGATAGTACAGTAGGACCTAATGAAATTAAACTGAGATTTGAGAGTTAACTGGCAGAAACGTATATATATATTGACAGAAGAAACTCTGTAAGCCATGCTATAGTGTACAAAATAAACTAGCTTTTTTTTTTCCCCCAGCTGCTTCATGATCTAACCAGTCACCCCAGCCGAGGCCATGGGGTTTTGGAAGGCTTACACAAGTGCTAACATCTGCTTCTATTCCCATCAACGTCAAATTTGTCAGAACATGAAACTGCACCAGCAAAACAATCCTTGTCATAGAAAAATAAACTCTACTTCCATGGATATTCCCTGAAGTACCAAGTGTAGCAGATCTATTACATTTCCAGTTTCTATTGCAAAATAAAATTTCTTTCGCAAAAAAACACATATACATTTATTTATATCTATAATTACTTGCTATTGTACCTAGTCTATTTCTCTGCAGTTTACCTGCATCCTAAAGTTCTTCATGGCTTGATTTGCCTTTACTGAACAACCAGTCAGTAAAAAGCACAATCATAAAAACTAAGCCTTATACCAAGTTACAAGGTGACAAATTAAACCAGCCACTTACTGGCAACTCTTTATTATTAAATGTTTTTTAATTTTTCAGCAACTTCTACCCACCGTTTTACTGGTCTCTGTACTACTGGTACATTGAGGGTTCAGATGAGTATCCTGATTTATACAGTAAATGAAACCTTACATGAAAACATTAGGCAAACTTTTTAAAACCCAACTTATTTTTTTAAATATTCATTAAAAAGTCAACTATATTCCCCAGCATAAAATTGTGGGCCAATAAGAATCTTGGAAAAGTTTATTTCATTTTACTCTAGTTAGCTAATCACGCTTACAGAGCAAAATAGGAAATGTTTACACACAGCACATTAAGTATACACACTTTGTTATTTGCTGTAAAGAGTGAAACAGATAAGGTACATATTGATAAAGTCAACATCTTCTAAAAAAAGCATCTTTACCATGAACACTCAAGGCAATATTAATTATTCAGTTACACAGTTGGATAACAGTTACTTATTTTTGAGTAAATAATCACCAACTGTTACTTTTTTTTCCTTCCAGAAAGTGCATTTTGGTGAAAAGATTCACCTCCATCCTTGCAAGTACAGGTCTTCTCTCCTTGGAAAACAAAGATTTCACCATAGGAAGATGATACGATCACCAGAGAGATCACTCAGCAGGAGAAAAACCCCAGTTGCTAATTTAGCCAGTAAAGTACCAATAGTTGGTAACCAAAACCTCATATTGTAGCCCATCATAAACTCCACTTACAGATAAAGTTTTCACAAAACATTTTAGTGCCTTAGGTAAATTCTTCCATCACTAGATTAATTTATTTTAAGAAATGCTAAATGCTAACATGAACAAAAACCCTGGTATTTCAATGACACTCCAAGTGTTACAACAAAATGCTTGAAGGAAAAGTGTAGCTATTTCTTCATCATTTCCTTTACATCCCTGCTCCGTCCAACATTGCTGTGAGTACGAGGGGACTTAAGTTTATCCATCTCATGTACGTTTACACACCTCATGTAGATGGGCTCAAAACTGTTATTGCTCAGTATTACTGATGTCTCAACATAGTGAGCTACTATAGTTTATTACTGGAAGAGTCCGGAGATCCAAAAGAATAACATTAATACAAGCAGACCTTTCCACTCAGACCTGATCTGTGATGAGTGCAGATTAACAATATACTGTATATACACAGCGTAAAGCCAAAAAGAAGAGATGAATGAACTCACGTGGGAATGACTACCAGGCTACAATAATGAATATATTAAACGTATATTAAATGTTCTGCTTTGACCCTTAACAGCTTTGTAGAGTTTTTACAGAATATGCAAACCAAGCCGCTTCTCACTACATTGATAACTGCAGAAATACTTTAAATAACCAATCAGGAATATGTCCTCAGTGAGTCACTCTTTAATTCCAATATAAACTGAAAAACCTAAATAAATCTGAAACATAACAGACGCATTTCCCATGCAGGGAAAGCAGCAAAGCATTTCCCATGTTAACACACATCAGCAAAGTCATTTCCTCCTTAAATCTCTCCATTCTCCAGTCAGCCACCAGCTGTGCCAGGCAAAGCCCCATTTCCCCAACATTTCTCCATCAGCAGCAGGGGTCTCCTCCTCCCACCACTCAGATAAATCAGGCTTACACTTCACTTCCACAGCTGTTTACATTACATACTGCCCACTGTGACAGCGTAATTTTACCTCAGCCAAAGGGGTCGTAGATGCTATCAATTCACTTTGCAAGATGTCATGAAGTACTCAGGAAAATGAGTAAGGTGTGGTATGATGTACATTATGTTTCCACACAAATCCCACTTATATACTGTCCCTTTTCTAAGCAAAAACAACCAATTTAAGAGAACTGATTGAACTTCTCTGTTCCTTAATCCAACTGCCTCAACAAGGCAACTACACAGAATGAAAATTGCCATCCAAATGGGTGAGAAGCTGGCTCTCTTGCCCAGCACTACTACACAAGTGCTAATGTCCTTTCCCATATGAACCATACACATCATAAAAATTACATTCTGTAACCCTGCAGAAAAAATAGGTTCTAACCCTGAAACCACAGGGTTTTTTTCATTTATCTAAGCGAACACACTATTCCTATTAACTTCAGCAAAAACTGCAGGAACTCCATGCAAACTGCCAGAAAAACTATAAATGGTTTCAGCTTTTCAATCATACAGGAAACATGACTTCTACCACAGTGAGCTCCACGGAGGGTGTTGAGGAGACCTGGAAGCCTAAATCTTAACTTTTATTGGAACTTCAACCCCTTGGGCTGCCTCTACTTTAACAGGAAGTCCCACAGAACAGGATAGGGTTTGGACAGAGAAATAGTCAGTGCTGGGACCCCACACTGCTGTTGGAGGCGTCACTTCACATTAGCTCTGGTCTAGTCCCAGGAACTGCACACACATTAGCAGCCGGATGTGCTCCTACAGAAAACCTTCCAGTTCACTTCCTCCCACAAGAAACCCAGCCTGTGTGCCCCAAGATCACCTGATCGTGTGAAACAAAGCTGGGATAGTGCTTGCAATTCATAAGAGCTGGTCCTAGGACTGATAACAGTTTTAAGAAAAAGAAATGGAAACATAAGCCTAGGACACCTAAATGAGAAGGTCTAGCCTCCAGATCAAGAACTAACCACAGGAACAAGTACAATGATGGTTTTGATGGCTTATGTAAAATAAATGTGACGGTCTCCATATTGGGCCTTGTCCAGTAGCCCTCACCACACAGAGCTGCTCTCAACAGCAGTCTTAGTACGTAGGCCAAAGGAAAGCTCAGAAGTTGTTTTCTCAAACCAAGGCTTAGGTACAATTAAAACACGTGACATTTCCCTGTGAAGGCTTAACATCTCTGAACTGTCACTTGAACTCTGTTCACAACCACTAATGAATATGAAAAACTTGATGTAGAACCAGGTATTTAACTCTAGCCCTCCTCCCTTTCTCCATATGACTGATTTATATCATCTTGACCCAAACTGCATGAAGACTTATTACTGAGCTCAATATCTGGATGAAACTTGAAATACATACAGAATCTGCTCTTTAGAAGCTGAGCACTTACTGTTTGAACACCAACATCTCTCATGTCTTAGAGCCCAAAATTAAAGATACTACAAATTATTTAAATTTGCTGGAATGTCCTATAACTCATATACCAAATCTGGGGCTTAAGATAAAATATTGAAGAAGATTCCCTTAGGACAGATATTTTTTATAATAGGTAAAATCTGATTGTTAAATGGAAATATGTAAAACACAATCACACAGCCACTTCCTCAAATATACATGCTAAATTTTCTTTAAAAAAATAGAAAACACATTGGACCATTTACCAGTTTTCATGGTTCTGCTGGGGATAAACATATGGAGAAAATAAGCTACTCTGCAGATCTTATTACACTCCAGAGTCTGCGCTTTTATTCTCCCTGTCACAGCCAAGTTGAGAATTTCCTCTTTCATGATAGTAAGCAGAAAGTTCACAAATCTCAAGGCAGCAAAGCAGGAAGTTTGCAGTTCGAAGGATTTCCCCTCCTCAATGGGACAGGGGAGGAGAGAAAAGTATGTGGGGGCTACTGTGAAGTCTTCTCCGAACTTAAGCAGCTGATTTGGACATACTTATCTCAACAGGGTCCTAAAGTGATGCTACCGAGACCATGGTGAAGTGAAACACTGCCTGCATCTGTTCTGTAGTAATTGTCACTCTGACTTTGTGAGAAAGTAGAAACTCCTGCCTTTCTCATTAGGGTATTGCTGGCACAAATCAACTTATCAACAGTACTATTCAGATGCAGAAGGAAGCTGAAACTACTGCAACACAGCTCTCACCAGCCCATGCTACCTTCCCAGCTGACCCTGTATCACAAGACAGGAGTGAATGCCACATGTGGCTTTAATGCCAAGCAGCTGCTGCACGCCAGCACCCCTCGCCCTCCTCCTCACCCCCCTGCACCGCTGTGTTTCAAGGACTACGGCAAGTAATGAACTGCGGCGTCCCATACAAACCTCCACACCCAAGGCAGACCTGAACCTAAACGCATCATCCCCTTTAACCTCCGTGCCCGAAGTGAAATCATCCGTGCTGAAGTGAGATCACCAGTACAGGCTCTCCGAGGAAGGCGGCTGGGGAGGGCGAGGGGCCACACACACACGCCCCCTCCCCAGCCATTTCAAAACCTGTTACTTTCCCTCCCTTTCAGCCAAAAGCGGCCGCCCCACACAACTCGGGGCGCCAAACCCCATCCCGGCTGTGAGCACCCCCCCC